CATCAAAATTTCCTTTAAATTTTATTTCCTGTGAATCTCAATAGCATTAATTTGAGATGAAATGTGCATGTGCACAACCATTTTGTTAGTTCCTGTTATTGTTGAGCATTTTTGGTAAGCCGATTATCTAGAAACTAAAAGCTGTATTATGTTTGCAGTGGATCACATAATATTGCCTTTACTATGATGATCTCATAATCTAAAATACATTTTTCATTTTACTTCTGTATTATACTTTAGAGTTATTTTTAATTATTGCTATTGAATTTCTATAATAAGTCTTGTATCTTTATGCAATATGAATTTCAAAATGCTGATTCCAGTTTCTTATCCTCTCTATGTGTTCTGAAATTCAGCTGTTCTGAAATCATACATCTCTACTAATTCTGGTCTACTGTAAACCCACAATCAAGAATTTAGGTTAGACTGATGATGATGAAAGAAATAATCTTTCATCATAATCTTTTAATCATAATCTTTTAATAAACTAAGTTTCATAATTACCTTTTGAACTTGCTTTTCCTTTGGTCACACAATACAAACTGTAATAAGACAGTTAATTTTTAATATGAAGACAATATAAAAAAATACAAATGTTGATTTAGATCTCCAGTTTACATTTCTATAGGCAGTAGGACCTTATTCTACGTCTTAGAAATATAAACTTTTTCCTTAACATTTCAAAAGAATACAGATAAGCAGATACAATGACTCTGTGCTTTATGTGATATTTCAAGATATTTTAAGAAACTGCTTAAAACGTAGCAGATAATTCATTTTTTGCAAAATATTAATTTCAAATCAGCAAACCTTTGGCATTTAACTGAAAAGGGAGACAATTTTAGCAGAGCTGCATCAGTCATTGCTCTCACATTTTAATCATTTAATCAACCCCCAAATTAACATCTATGTTATATAATCCACCCCCACATACTTTAGGGCTTATTAAGTACCCAAATATTCCTGTATGGTAATGTAAAAATTTTTCGCTTGTAATATATTTGCATTATTTTTACTATTATAAAATAAACGAATCTAAGAATTGTTAAAATGTATAGATGTGAGGGAAGAAGGTAGGAAGACCAGTGAAAGGTTTCAGCAAAGAAAGATCATTATCAAAACTTTATGCAGGGATCCTCAATATCCAGGGCTGAAAAATGAGGAGCAAAAATTTCTTACTGCATATGGATGCAAGATTTAAACCTGGAGTTGACATATAATTATAGCTAAATTCAGGGCTGGGCTTCAAAAATATTAGCAACGGGTTCTCTGCCTAGTTGCTGTCTGGGAGTGGCCATGGTGTGTGTGATCTAGTCAGCCTCCTATACCATGGAAGGCATTTTTTCCCTCCCCAGGCTCCGGAGGCTTTCCTCGAGCCTCCAGGAGGGTGAAAATGGCCTCCCTGGGCTCCGAGGTCTCTCTGGAAGCCAGAAATGGGCCTGTTCCTGGTCTTCCCAAACTTTTGGGAGGCCTGTTTTTCCCTCTCCCTGAGCCTCCACACATGCCCTACACTTACCTGCATCCAAAATGGGCAGCGTGAGGACTCCTGGGAGGGTGGGGTGCAGGGGTGGGATTCTACAGGTTCACACCTATTCGCTAGAACTGGTTGTTAACATTCAAAGCAGTTTCGAGAACTGGTTGTTAGAATAAATTACTGGCCTAATCCTGTAAGGAAGGCAGGAAGGAAACATTCTGGTGTTGCTTACAGAAACTGCCTCTCTGTTACCCCTTATTATATTCTTGGCAGGACTAGACTTCCTGTCTCAGGAACTTCTCTGGAGTTTTTTCCCCTCCTTTGCTGGTACTTTGCTTGTGTGGAGTGACCATTCAAAGTTACAATGGCACTGAAAAAAGTGAGTTATGACCATTTTTCACACTTATGACTGTTGCAGCATCCCCACAGTCATGAGAGGCCAAGTGAGGAGATGCGTGCCTCAATGTGAGTGATATTGAGTTGGCCACGCCCAGCCAATAACATGACCACCAAGCCACTTCCACCCAGACACATGACCACCAAGCCACGCCCACCAACTAAGCCATGCCCACAGAATCGGTTGTTAAAAAATTTGAATCCCACCCCAGTGGGCTTTGCCCACTGCTTGCACTATTAGGAAGAGATTTATTGCCATATTCATTATGAAGATCGTATAATTGGAAAGCAATAAATGGATCTATTTTTTTTCTAAATGCAAGTGTGATACTATGTTGGTCAAATAGCTGCTTAGGAAGTGATCTTAAAGCAGTGTTAGTATGCGACCACATCAGCCATATAGTGCTTATTCACCTACCAATAGACCAGCTTTTTGGAAGAGATTTCATTGCAGTCAAATGCATAGCTGTCAGCTACTGGTGAGAAAATGTAAAATCCATTATTTTTATCCTTATGGAGAAACGATAAAAGGATCTGTTCACCAACCCCAAAAAAGAGAGGCAGAATCTGCAGGTGGGCCACTCAATTCTGCCAGTTTTGAGGGTCCTACAATGAACATTGATTGATTAATTGATTCATTGACTGATTGATATTTTTCAGTCTACTTCTAAACTTATTTTGCTTAAAAAGGACACTTTTATAACAATGAAGTTAGGAATATTCATACGGATCTGTAAAGGGTAAAGGCTACTCTGAAGTATAATGGTTTAATTTAAACATGGGCTACAGAAGAAATGAATGGTGGATGATCTAGAAAGTCTTAAACCGCAACCAGTCATATCAAGTCTGCTGACACTGTGGATTGATTTAAAATACAATAATTCTCACATTAGAAATCACAACTTTCTATATGTATTTGTGAGATTATCCTGAAATTATACAAGCATGTCAGTGTTGGTGGGTATGGATATAAATTGGAAGCAAAACCTACTCTCTGCTAGAACTGATGATATTATCTAGTTGGGTAATGAAATGACTGCAAGAAAACAAACAAGCTTGAGAGTACTTTTCATTTCAATCCTTTGTCAAATCCCTTTTCCTCACAGAAAGAAATGATAAAATAAATTGCTACCCTGACATCTACATTTCCAAAATATATTTATATTGCAGAAAAAAAAAGACAACTGAATCGCCAGAGTAGGATGAAGCAAGAATTCCTACTAAAATGAAGTCAGACCACCCACAAGCTATATGGAATTTCAATGTTGCAAATGGAAACATCATTGCAATAATTTGCAGTAAAAACAGTACATAAAATCCCAGCTGTGTTCTATAATGGAACACAGCCAATGCTGTATACAATCCTGTATATTTTGTGTGTGTGTGTGTGTGTGTGTGTGTGTGTGTGTGTGAGAGAGAGAGAGAGAGAGAGAGAGAGAGAGAGAGAGAGAGAGAGAGAGA